GAGAGATTCTTTGATTCTTTGGTTAAACTTTTTCCTATTTTGGCTTGGATTGAAAATATTGTACGGGAAAGGAAAACTTACCTACCTTTCAAGTAAAAAAAAGGAGGGGTTGTTGGTTGCTTCAACCCCACTTCTACTCAACCTCGATCCTCTCATATACTTGAATTCCCATCCAAAATGAGTAAGATAAATATCTTATCTCTAACTCATTTCTTATGTTTTGTGTGTGTGTGTGAGAGAGAGAGAGGGAGAGAGAGAGAGGCTTTGAACTTGAATAGAAAAGGTTCCACATCTCCTTTTAATAAACCCTCTAGGAACACAACTGATTCCATACACAACAATCCTAGCAAACTCACTCTGGGCATGGAGAAGCAAGCCCATTTTTCACAATGTAAAGCTGACCCCCCAACAAGTCATGAAAGAGATTAACATGGATTTTGAAGAGTTCTTAATAGTTCTTCTCTTTACCAAGCAAAAACATCAAAGCAATAAAAAGTCCTAGATCTCAAAAGACAAATCCAATGGATTCCACCAAGTGAAGGAGAATTAAAGCTCAATGTAGATGCAACAATTGGAAAAGAAAATTCTTGCACAACAGGAATTATTAGAAACCACCAAGGCACAATGCTGAGAGCAAAGATTCGAATTCAAGACACAAAAGATCCACCAGAGGCAGAAGCATTGATAATGAGAGAAGCAACAAGAATCAAAATGTTTACACAATTTTTTAGATATAGATACAGAGAGAGAAATAGACAGAAAGAGAGAAGGGGAAAAATACTTCGAAAGTAGCCAGAGCAAATGGTAGTCTTTATCGTTAAAGTGGTGTTCGTCATCAGATAAGATGGTGGGTGACTAGTTGAAGGAGAGGAGATAACAATTTGAGAGGTCTTCTTCCTCGAATGGTGGGTGACTGGTTAGAGGCTGCTATGCCGGAGTGGTCTTCTTCGTCGGAGAGGTCTTCCTCGTCAGAGAAGTCTTCGTCATCAGAGAAGATGATGGGTAGTTGGAGGAGTGGAGATAGGGATTTGAGTATGGATTTGAAAATTTGAAAGAGGGATAAGTGATTTAGGAAAGTAAAAATTGATTTTATTCGCCTAAATCGTCATTTGGAATGACACCCTTAAAATTCGTCATTCCAAATGACCTTTTTAAGTTTAACGTTGTTTCCAAAACCATTAAATTAAAAACGTCATTAAAACTAACATTTTTAAAAGTCTTCACTTTAGATGATATTTTTATTCTTTATGATTACAAACTGTGTTTAGTTTTCTCATGAAAACGTCTTTCAAAATTGATGTTTTCAAAAAAAGACTGGATTTGAGAAAGAGTAATCTTATTTTGACCTAAAAATCTGACCTAATTAGTTGACATAATGATGTAGTTTCAGTGAAATTATTGGATCAACATTAAGTTTTAATATTTGATGGAGCCCACAATCAATCCAAAGGTCATAGTGAATTAGGTCAGTAAATTAAGTCTCAATAGCATTACTCTTTGAGAAATAAATTTAAAATTGACTGAGTTTGAGAATAAAGATTTTGATCAAAAGCTCTTTCTATGTTTTGTGGTCAGACAGTATAGGGAGGTTCTTGTCCGTCAAATCGATGAATTAAGTTTAAGAATTATTTTATCTAAAATTGGAATAAAAATGCATATTATTCGTCTCTCTCTGACTCCACTATAGATAGGAGTCAGGTAAGACCCGTTTTAGTTCCAGGCAAAGAAGTTGATGATTTCAAAAAAAATGCGTCCTCCATTGTTTAGGCAATCTTAGTTAAGGGTGGTAATCAAGTCGTGTCGTATCGGATTTGTGTAGGATAATTTAGGGTTCGTTTCGAACATTAGTCAACTTTAACACAACCTACTTAACTAATCATATCGTGTCAAGTTGACCGATTTATTTTCGTGTCATGTTCGTGTTGATCCACATAAATTTTGAATAAAAAATTTTAGGCTAAGATTCTATTTTTACTTAATTGAACTTATACTTATTCTTTTTCTACAAACTAAAAATTAATTTAATAATAATAATAATAACGAGTAACCTTATCTTTTTTATACAATAATTATGTTAGTGTCTAATAAACAGTTATAAATAATTAATATTTTATTTCTATAATGTTAATTAAATATTTTGATCGTGTTAATTTCATATTGTTCGTGTTACCACACAAAACGAAAAAATAGAGAAAGTGCCAATTTTTAAATTAACGGGTTGATCGTGTCAATTTTGAGTTTGGCGGAGTTGAACCCGAACATGACCCGTTTATATTTCGTGCTCGCTCGTTGAGTCATTTTCGAGTTCGTGTCAATTTATAATCGAGTTCATGTCATAAAATTTGTATCGAGTTCGAGTTGTGTCGTCAAGTTGAGTAAAAAATTGCCACACCTAATTTTCGTACTTTGGTTGGTTAATTTATGTGCCTCCTAAGTAGTGCTTAGGGATGGCTCAAGACAATTGAGACCTAAAGCAGAAATACTAAATGAGTTTTTTTTTTTTAAATAATTTATTTTTTTAAAAAAAGGTGAAAGAGAAGAAGAAGAATGTAGTAGTGCGGTCGAGATAGAAGTTTCAACATTTGCTCTTGTTTGTTTACTAGATGGAGAGAGAGAGAGAATGGCCGAGGGTAAATATGAGTTGAATTTTGATTACTTTACTATTTTTTTAATTTCTAATTTTTAGGTTGCTAAAGTTATGGATTAGATCATGGGCCCAAATTATTACAATAAAAATTAGGAAAACATGGGTCAGTACACAATATTGGAATTATATACCTTTTAAAAATATTTGTAAAAAAGTTCACCCACTATAACTAAAGTCCAAAATAACTTTTTTTCAATTTGAAAAGTTTTCTACCTATCTAAGAAAATCAACGAAAATAATGTGAAGGGACAGCAGTTGCTCGCATGTCTCCACCATTGGCACCGGTGTTTGGTTTCCTAAATTAAAGGATAATTAATCGTTTGAATTTTGAAATAATTCTATTCAAAATTTAAACAATTAATTATCTTTTAATTTAGGAAACCACTTACCAAGTAAAATAGAATCAAAAAAATAAGGAAACAACTAATAAGACGAAGAGTATTGTTTTCAGAATTTCAGTCTTTGAATGAAAGAGAAAGATGTAGTTCAAAATTCAAACGTGTTGTCCACAAAAATAAGAAATTAAATCCCACAATTAACTGCCTAAATTATCTTTCATGAATAAAGAAAAATATTTTTTACGTAAATGAAATATTTAAAAAACAACAAAGTGTATTTGTTTACAAAACATTTACACAAAAAATAACTTATATACATAAGATTTATATTGTGGCTTTTTTTTCACAAATAAGTAGTATATAGTTTACATATTCACAATTTTTTCATAAAAATTTTGATTGGACTTAATTTTTGGGGGCCCTTTTTATGGCTTAAAATTTATTTGTGGGCTAATAATGTACTTAAAATAATAGGGCTTTTTAAACATTTAGGACCTAAAATCTGAGCTTTATGTTTAGTACTGTTGGGTCGGCCTTGTTAGTGCTTTGATTTTTCATGGGAATTCTGCCAAAGTAAATCTCTAATCCAGTCCTACAGATTGCAGCACGTAGGATCCCCCAAAAACACCCGTGACAAGTGCTGAACTTGCAATGGTTAATAAGATTTGCCATTTAGGTTTTCTACTACAAGAGAGGTTCCATCCAATCTTGCTAACAAAAACCGCTATGGGACCTCAAGGCCTCCCCAACAAGAAAGTAATACGTTTAACAGTGATATCATGTCATCATTGATATGTGATGTCACCGTCTAATAATAAACCTACAAATGACAACATGGTTACTAAAATATATGAAATTCATCTGCCATATAACTTCTTATCACTGGACGGTTACACTATGTCAACATAATGACATAATGCAACGGTTACGCCCAATATTTTTTCCTCCACAACCCCTACAAACCACCACATCCGATTCTTACAACCGAGGCTGCAATGTACTTCGGCACAAGCAGAATGCTGGCAGTTTTCTTCATTAAAAACCTTTTTTTAGTTGTCGGAAGGCTCCCACTGCAGTTGCAGAGTAGGAGGTACTTTGAAGCTCAGAGTTTCAAGACCATTTAGCACCAAGTGCCATTACCACTCTGATTGTAAACACCATTCCTGTAGCATCCTCTTCATTAGGAACCAATCCCCTGATGCTGCATTGCACTCACCAAGTTAAACAGTATAACTCTACATATCGATAATTAGTTCCACTGTCAGATTCTAAGTCATGAACATTGTGCAATGGACTAACACAACAGAAGATTATGCATGCTCTGCAAAAAACTTGAATTACTAATGAACCATTGTTGAAAATCGACAACAAATCTACATCATAAATGCTTACATCTTTTCCCCCTTCATTAATTGACAATAGGGGAATGCAGTGAAAGAAACAAATAAGAAACAGAAAGAAAATTTTAAGAAAAGAAAGAACGATACGATCCAAAAAACTATAAGAAAATTCCTTTTAATGAGACTGGCCCTTTGCCAGACTTCCTGAGGCAAATTGAACAGCAATTTTGACTTTGACAAAATGATGGTGAGTGGAATTCCTCAAAATTGTTCCAAACGCTAGCTTCATGAGCTTAGATCTGAAAGCAGGATGTGCTCGCCGTCCTATTATTTTTCCCCCACCATATTTATATATCCAACAGGAAAATCTCTTCCTAACAATCTTCACAGTCTTCAATTGTCAGGCCTGTAAAAATAGTTGTAAAAGGTGAATGTCAAGGATGTAGCATAGAAGTTAGTCATAACAATTCAAGAAAAGAAGCCTGTGGTTTTGTGGGGCATATGTCCAACTGCATAACATTGAAACCAAAGGGTCTCCACCTTCGGGGCATTTAGGATAACATGGGAAAACACATACTTGATGTGATACCTTGCTCCTAAAAATGATAACTGGTTTGTGGACTGTGTGTGTGTGTGGGTGTGGGTGGGTGGGTGTGTAACAAAGTCACTTACTGGTTAATGAGCGATCTGAACAAGAATGAGCGAGATGCAATAAAGACACACAGAAATTGCAGCTCCAGCAAGAAAGTTGTACAGAAGCTGCCGATTGTCCCTTGTGGGTACAAAAACAGATTTGAGTGTATTCGTCAGTTCAAAGAGCCGGCAGGATACCTGCAGAGACCAGAAAAGTACCAAAACCATATAAAAAACTTTAGACTAGTTAGTTTCTTCAGGCATCTAGATCTGAAACGTTTAAAAATTAACTTGCTCACCAATACATAAATAGCAGTTGTGAGCATGAAGTTGAGCAAAGGATAATCTGGGATGAGAGAAAGTAGCCACTTAGGCTGTCCGTTAGGGGTGTTTGATCTGTAGATGCATCTCATCACGTCAGACAGTGGGTAAGGCTTTGCATCTTGTTAGCATCAAGTATAATCTCTACCTTGATTTGAAATTCTAATCACCAAATGAAAAAAAAAAAAACCAAAAAAGAAATGAAAACAAAATAAACTTTTGCTCTTCTTTTTTTTTCTTACAATTAATGGCTAAGCAAGAAATCTGACGTAAAAAACAGTAAGTCATAAATTAAATAAGGTATAATTTCAGAAATCCAAAGATCTTGTACTTGCCAGATAATATTTATATATGATAAATAATTTCGGATATTTAACAACTTGTGGATATATGATAAAGAAATAAAATAATCAATCAATGTGCAAAGAGAGTTAAAAATAAATTGCATCAACCACCCCAAGATTCGTAATGCAGGTTACGCATTATAATTCTTTTCAGCAGTTCATTTAAGTCTAATAATCAAAGAGTGAAAACGAAAAACCAAAAAATTTACTCACCTCAGCCAGATGTGGAACTGGGAAATGTAGGTTTCTAATGTAATCTTGCCAAGCCACCTATTAGTGCAGTGCAGCAACAATTAGAGCGAGCGGGAAATTTAGTGTTCCAATAAGCTAGATAGGAAACAATTTTTAACCTCCATGAATCTTTTGAAGGTGTAGTTCGTGGTAGAACTACAAATCAAGTGGATAAAATAGAACTTACGCAAAGAGGGTCAATGAGAAATTCCGAAGCTCCTGAGTGAAATTCCGCAAGCAAATGTATACACTGAAACGAAAAGGCAGCACAGTTGACAGTATGATACTGCAAACTCAACTTCTAGCTTTTAATGAGACAGAGTATTCTACACACAAAGCTGTATAGGATCCTCAATACAAATTCTTCTTAGCAGAAATAGTAAAAAGATGCAAGAGACAATAAAAAAATTAATTAGTGGAGAGAAAATAAAAAATATAAATGAAGACAAGAATCTTGATACGCACGTTATAGGAATCCATGATGTGTAGGGGTGGAACTTGTTGTATGTAACCTTGTCCAGCTTGTAAATATATTCATACCACAAATAGCCAGCCTAAGACAGATCATTTGTATAAAATCAGATCATAAAGTCAATATATAAACAGAAAGATGATTCCAAAATCAACCAGATAATCCCACTCACAACTGAGGAAACCGCAACAATGCCTGTTTTGATTGCTCGTCTCCGCTTGGGTTCAGACTCCTCAAGTTTCTCCATCCATTTCTCAACCTTCGCAATAAACCATAATGAAATTTAGCAGTTGGCACACCCAAAAGGAAACAACAAATCACCAGTCTTCAAGAATTACGTTAGGGTGAAAATAAGCATATATCATTCCGATGATCCATATGTAGCGATCAAGTCCAGATCTGAAATGCCATTCATGTAACCGGGGGAGATCTGGTTTTGCAGGATCAGTATACCCTGCCAATAGAAAGAACTAAGCTCAGGTAGTTAAGCCAGCCGGTACAAACATCAAGCAAAAACTCGAAAACCAGGCTCAACATGGAATTTTGCTGCTAGGCCCAAGTGGCAACAAACCGAGTTCCATCTAATAATAATTTGATAACATTATTACGCCCAAAAAATGTCACCTATTTTTGTGAGGATAAAATCTTACTAAAGAAGAAGACCGCATAAGAACATACAAGCACCAAAAACTCATCAGAGAAAAGAATTAGGAAAAAGGAAAGCACAGGAAATTTCATGAGTCTGAAGACCATAAGCAGAGAAACATGAAACCAGTAGCAGAGGGTTTAGGGTTTAGCACTAAAAAATAACTTTGCTACGTGATTCAACTCAGCTAATTTTAAATCAACTCTGCCAAGCTTTGAGTTTATGGCATAGAATAAAACAAATAAGCATAAAAAGGTTATGCTGGTCACTAACCTAACAAGAATGTCAAAGGACGCCAAACAAACTCAAAAACTCCAGGAATTTCCCAAATCAGGATAACCACCAGAAAGCATGCGGCGATTTTCATTGCCATCACTGATTTTTTATCATTATAATTGTGGCCAATTCCAAGGGCCCCATACACCATAAGAGTGAAAAGCGTATGCATGGGGCAGATATAGTACAGCATATAGTCATTGTTCAGGACAATGCAACAAAATGCCACGAAAAAATTTAGCCTCCACATCATCTGCATAGAAAAGAAATAAAAACTTAAGAGGCATCCACAGAAATATGAATAATGTAGAGTATACATAGCATGTATTAATGTTAATTTATAGCATCATCAAGAATCAATAATATCACCTGAGCAAACCGTGCAACGCTGAAGTCCTTGCGAATGTAATAGTAGGAGAAGTTGCCAAAACCAGTCATCCAGACATATGCAGCAATAAAAACACGTATTGCATTGTATATCTCCGTTGCAGCAAAGTAATGATACATTAAAAATAGGACCTGTGGAATACACAGCATAAAACCATTTACATTGCTCAAGTTAGTAAAGCTGTTTGATTACACGTTATGTGAATGTTCAATATACACAGAACATACCAGCTGAAACACGCAACATCTAATACCTGACTGAGATGTTGAAATAGTCATTAACAAAAACAAATAACCACGAAGATAAATTAAGTGGTGTCATATCCACACACAAAATGGCTTGGTTTTTCAGGGGAAAGGGATTGCAACTTGCAAAAAAATAAAAGTTAAGGAAGCACCAGGCAGAATATAAACAATGATGATCAACTTGAGTGGAACTGAACCAAAGGGAATGCATAAAGTACATTCTTCTTTAACTAAGCCAAAGTACCAGTGCATTCAAGTTACGAACTTTGACATAAATACTTGCCTGCATCCATCCTTTCCACTCCTCCGTCTGATGCCGATTAAGGTAGAGTAAAGATTTGCCAGAAAATGCCGACTTATCCTGATGTTTCTTGAGAGAAGTCATTGCTGAAACGATGATGAGAAGTATGTACAGAAAGAGAAAAAGATCGCGATTGTAGCTCTGTTCAAGGAAAGGCAAAAAAAACAAAAAAGGATCAAATTTAACAAGAACTGGCTACAGCCTATTCCTTCTCAACATGCGATTATACTCTTTAAGCTTAAAACATCCTCCAAAACTCAAACAGAGTTTTTTTAGGTACATAGACGTCAAAAACTTAGCTGCCCTAAAAAGCCGCATATTATTTTAACATATCATGGTTGTTCTTTTATTTCTAACAGTACTACGACATATGTTCAACAGGTTTGAATTAGTATGATGTAAAGCAGTTTAAACTTACCCTGAACCTTTCAAGTATCATTAAGAATATGTTTTCCCAGTATGAGATCTTTTTTTTTTCTTTTGACAGAAAGGCTCTTTTAAACTCAAATTTGTGAAACAAAATTCTAAATGCAATGCCTATAAGTTGTGATATCACACGCCCTCAATAGCATCTAGTTAAAAAGCACAGTTAATGGTGACCCTTCGAATATACACCCAATGGATAAAGCAAAGCTCACTCAACAGATCAAATTCCACTCTTCAATTGATTCTTCTAGACGACAGTAACTCTGCAATAAGGTGCGAGATCAGAACAAATTTGCTTCAAAAATGTTGACCACTTAACGGAGTAACATCATTTTCTAACTATACCCCATAGACATTAATTTCACCAAGTTTTACATACTCATGCATACTGTTATAGCCAAGAGTTAATACTTAACCAACTATGACTCAAAGCCAATATTTCTATGCATATTGAAATCAACGATAAAATTCAAATTGCAGCACAAAAAACATAAAGCACCTTGGTAGAATCTGCCAATATATTCGTCCGGTCGCATAAGTAGAAGTAGAATAGAATTCCCCCGAATTCAGACCTATATGGAATATAACATCATGTATAAGGAGTGGGGTGGTCAACCATATGTTATTGTCATCAACAAACGATAGGACTTACATTGCTCTCAAAGTTGCTCGATTTTCTAGCAAAAATGAGTCGTCCATAGTCAGAAACCTAAAACATCAAGAAGTGCAGGGAGTAAGAAAGACTTCTACGAACACAATCCTAAAGAAATTCCACCTTGACGACAAAAAATCAAACAGAAAATCAACCTAATTAAGTTTGCTTTAATGTTAGTAGTAGCCAACTTCGTAGATGCTGATTTTGTGAGGCCTCCTTCCAGCAAAACAGTCCGATCATCTTCCTTGATTGTCTCATTTCCCAATTCAACCAGGTTAATGTCTGAATGACTGTTGCTCGAAAAGTCAGTTTTTCAGCATCAAAAGATATTAAAACTTAAAGACCATTACTTCCTTAATGTGCCGAAGATAGATAAAATTCCTAATGCGAAATCGTGAAAATGTGTGCAAAAATTTCTAGTGGCCAACATTGAGAGCAATCGCACAAAAAAGCACATTAATATCTGTTTAACAGCTAAGTATTAAATCGTTTTGAGATTTTACTCACACACCAGCATTGCATAAGGAGTTCAAGTTCTACCAAGTTTAGCGAAAAGCAATTAAATAGATGGAACAATGTGTACAATACTTGCTAGACTATCAAGGAAGATCCCAATTTAATGATTTGTGACAATATCCCAGCAAACATGACAAAATTGCAGGGAAAGGATCATCCTTCAATCATCATTTTGATATATTCAGAAGGAAATAACTACAAAATTAGCACCATTCTGTTACCGTCATGGTCATATCTAAGATCTAGAAGTTGTAGAATAACCGCAAATTAGTCGTTCTGCCTCAGCTAACTTAAGGCAAGCACCAATTATCAAAGGACTCATACTTAAAATATTTTTTTCTAATTTACAAAAAGATTGAAAGGGCTTCCCAACAAAGAAAGTCAGCTTAAAATATTCTAGAGGACAAATAAAAGCCACATTTCTTGCTCAGTTTTCTATTTCAAAACAGAAAAGAGAATGATCATCTAACTTTTTTTATACCAAAACCAATTGTTCCTTCAACTCAACATTCAAATGTACTGATAATTTTCAATCAGCATGTATTTCTGGAAAGCTATTAATTGCAAATTTGATTATCATATTACATTTCTCATCCATTTACTTCATCATAAATGTACGCATAATGAGGAAGTATACACTGCAATGCCACTTGTTCCATATTCTAAAACTTTCAAGACCCAACTGGTTTCATGATTGTTCCCACCATGTGCATCTAAGGTCTAAATTGTATTTACTTATTCAGATTCATAAACCAAAAATTTTTAATGTTTCATCCAATAACCAGAAAATCCAGTGCTCTGGGTTCATTTCAAGTATCAGCAAGCAAATAATTTTCTATGACACAACTGTGAAGAAAATTTGCGATTGATGATTAAGCATCCAACTAGGAGAGAAGAAGATACCGCTCAGAAGCAATTGGGAAGTCGATAGCTGGTAAAATCCATAATCAACCACATATGGATTCCTATGATCTCTGTGGTCCTTGACCTCAAAAGAACTAGATGATGACATTAAGATAAAAAGATGACTTTATACAGCCTATGGGCAAATAGATTCACTACGTCATGTGGACTGTGGACAGTGAGAACCTCTTGTTACTTTATTTCTTTATCTTTCAGTTGTAACCAAGAAGATCTTATCAGAAGGCACAGCCGATGAACACTACTTAATGGTAGCAGTAAAGTAGCAACCACATGAGGGATATTTGGCTATTTTTGAATTTGAGGGGGTGGGGGGTTGATGTGCAACATGTGCTAAGGGGTCTAAACCAATGTTACATGGATCGTCGGTCGCTTTGGTACGTTATATGAATACGACACTTCCTTAGGTAAGCTTAACTGGTACGGTGTCTGGAGTCACAATTCATTTTAGAACTCTTATCTAGATCATTTTCATCTCTATACAATATTATATATCATAAAATATCCATAAACAATAAGTCAATTACCATTTATCTTACATTTGTGCTAGATTTTCTATTATCTGAAATAATATATAATTATAAATTTATATGCACATAGTTAATTAATATGTATTTTATATAACTTGGGATCGTACATTTTAGTAATTTAGATAATTTTTTTTTTTTTAGTAATTTAGATCACTAACCCACCCCGTTTGAGATCAATGTACATATATCGTAGGTCATCATAAGTTTAATAAATTCTAGTACTACTCTAACCATAAGGGAGTAAAATGAAATTTGCCCTAAAGACTATTAAGAAAACACAAAACCATTGTCCCCATTAAGCATTTTGAAATTAAGGGAAACCAAATATGAAGGCAAGGAAAAGCTGAAAACAATATGAATAATACACTCTGTATAGAATCATAAAATTTGTACACTTTTAACCTTTGGTACCTAAACCACAAGAATATAAAATTGAGATTAGCCTTCTGTTCCCTACAAGCTGGAATACTTTTCAATATTTCTTTTATAAATCATATTTTTCTTATGTGATTTAAATATTGTATACATTCAACATTTCAGATTCATATCATATTAACCCTTGTAATCCCATCATCACATCAAACAAACTTCTGGCAAATGATCACAAGAAAGTAGTGGCCCAACAAATCTGCAAAAGCCCATTCATTACAAGCCTATTAACAACAATCAACCTTAGCTGCAGCTCAGATAGGCTAATCCCAAAAACCGTCCTATTTACCATCCTTTGATCTCAATTTCTCTAAGGCTGATAGTCTCATGTCATCTCTCCAGTACTCCTATTTTCACCAGGTCCAACACTTTCACAGTTTATCCCATTCTATGTTCCAATAAAAATAGAAATGTGATTCAAAATATCTCAAATAATTGCAATTTTGATCAGCTCCACAGTCCTCCTATCTAGTTGCAATGATGAAAAATAAGCAGTGCTGTTTCAATTGACACACTCCCATGGTGAAACCTGTGGTCTAGTATAATCACCTTGGTTCAAAATTATAAGCTCAGACTACAATAATTTTACACAGCTATCACCAAATGTGCTAAAGCTCAAGTGGTTTGTGGATGGATATGTGAAACTGTGTTTTCAGCCTCCAAGCTGAATTTTTTAATTTGTCCCTTGTCCCAACCCCCCTAAATTTAGAAAAAAAAAATAACTCGGGCATTTTTTTTTTTTGGTTGGGGGGGTGGAGGGGGAAGAGGAGATTAGTACTCAAAACCAGAGTATAAATCCTACACAGTAAGTTCATAGATCTCCATTTTGAAGAAGGAAACTTACACTTTAGGAGGGGATATAGACTTCTTAAATTCTAAACATTCAGAATATATCCATGCTACGAAAATGGGGACAATTCCAAGCAAGAATGACACCTGGAACATGGCAAGTAAAAGGTTTCATCAGACACATAATGCATATGTACTTAATGGTAACAACTACATGACACTAAATAAAGACATGCCTCAAATTGATAATAAATAGATAAACACACAAGACAAAACATGCAAGACTGCCAGGTTGTTGGTTCAAAATAGAAGATAAAGACATGAACATTTATTTTCTGAAAACAAAAACTGAATAGAAAATTTTGTTCCATCATAACTGGATACTATAATGCATAGAGATAACTTAGATGCATTCTTCTTTTCTATTTGAAAAGAAATTGTCCAACTTACAACCAAACTGTAAAACGAAAAAAAGAAACACCGATCCAATCAATCACGTATCCATGATAGACACATATTTTCAGTTGAAACAGATATGGTCCAACTTAACAATAAAAATTTAAAAAAAAAGATAAAGCCTCAATCAACAATGA